TGTGACGGAAATGTTACGCCCCTTAACATACTGTGATGCCGTGTCTAGGCACAACAAGACAAAACCCATTATAAACGAGGCATTTGTAGCATCCAGAGGGGACATAATTATGGATTATAATGACTTATACTGTCTTTTTACGCATTGCATCACACCCGCGTAAACATAAAACCATGTCTGCATTTGTGATCAGAGAAATTACAAACAGCAAGTGCTACTCTACACTGCTCAAAACTCGCGTTTGGATCGTCAGTGGCAAATCCTTTAAATATGAAAACGTACTTACAGGCTGTGAGTCAGCATTATTTGTCAGAACACTGGCATTGTAGGCTACTCTCCCAGGAAACAGTCCTCGTCCTCCTTAAAATGCGTTGCACACATCTGAATATTTGGGTTGAACTGTTGTAAATACAACGTAGCCACTGATTTCTAGTCGTGTCCTCTTTTAGAAGTCACAACGAAACACAGCGCCTTCACGACACGGCGGCGGCGGCGGCAGCAACAATACTACAGCGAGAATCAAAGTTACGCCTTCTTTCTTTGCGTGCACATTTGGGCGGCGTTATGCAAATCTTCCCACACAGTGACATAGACATGTGGGGGCGTGTTTAAACGAGGTGTTTTAGGAGGCCGTGGACGACTCTTAACTTTTATAAAGAATATCTCTGGGTTTGAGACTTTAATCTTTGCAACTGCAGGGATCTTATCTATGCACGAACAGCTTGTAACACTCCAAAGAGAAAGGAAAACTTGAAATCGCATCATATGACCCCTTTAATATTTTATTGTCATCATTATTATCAGTTTAATAATAATAATAATAATGTTATAAACAAATAAATACATAACTATTACTACTACTATCATCATCATCATCATAATCATCATCATCATCAAGTCAAAGGTCAATAATTCTCAAAAGACAAGAAACCGAGAAATGAGAACACCATTTACAAAAATTTTTTTTTCAGAATAGACGCAAAAAAAAACAAAACATTTTTTATGTCAGCTGTCCATGGCTGGCAGGTCCTCACTGTCGCTACTGTGACCTGGAGACATGCAGCGAGAGATTTTATCAAGTTTGAGTCCAAGACAAAAATGACCCGTCATGCATAGTTAAAGCTATCATTGGTCACAAATAGAAATTAAAGCTAAAATGTTTAGTTTTGAGCATGAGAAATGAAGCAGAGTTTAATCAGACAGCCAAGAGAAGTGTAACATCACATGACATCAGACAAGTTAGCGAAACCATTCTCTGGTATCATCATATTTGACTCTGTTGTCTTTTCACCAACCTTATATTATTAATATATATTCAATATTTACAGAAAAAAACGAATTTATTAACCTGACCTAACCTTTCAGGATATGAATCGTAAGGAAGAAAATTAAATAAAATAATAATAATAAAAAAATAAATAACTTCAATAGCGATGCACCGAATTTTCGGCAGCCGAAAATGGCATTTTCGGTTTTCGGCCGAAAGAGAAGAACAGCTGAACATGCAAATATCAAATATCAGTTTAGTAATAACAATAATAATGTTATAAACTAATAAATACATAATAATTATTACTACTACTACTATTATTATTATTATTATCATTATTATTATTATTATTAAGTCAAAGGTCAATAATTCTCAAAAGACAAAAAACTGAGAAATGAGAACACATTTACATTTATTTTTACAGAATAGACAAAAAAAAACATTTTTAAATGTCATTATTATTACTATTTTTTTAATGTTATTTATTTTTTTTTTTTTGCCATTTCTGCCTTCATTTGACAGGACAGTAGTGAGACAGGAAGAGAAGTGGGAGAGAGCTGGGGACGGGATCGGGAAAAGCCCACAAGGCTATCAGTGCCGACTTTAATGTGATTATTAAAATAATAATAATAATAATAGTAGCAGTAGTAAAAAATGAACAAATTATTATTATTTTTTTAATGCAAATTTACCTTCTCTTTCCTTCTTTTTTAACCTTTTCCGCCTCCTGTCGATGGAAGCCACCTCAGACTTGAGTGACATGTAGTACTTCCTGATTTCCTGTAGCTTCTCTTGCAAGAATGAAATGCGCTCAGCACTTGTCATGTTGTCCAGCTCAGCTGTGAAAAACAGAAGCAGGACCCAGTCAGAACAGGATGTAAAAGTCTCCAAGAATTCATCTGAGACTACAGACACTTCAACTACAGCTGCATGGATCCACTTTAGAAGACATCCAGAGACATCTGGGTACAGTTAACGATTTCCCAAGCTTTAAAATGAGCCAGTGTATTGTATTTACATAATCCTATCTATAAACCAACCTTTGATGCGTATCAAAAGTTAAATTGTACACAGTAATAGTTCAACTGTATGGATCAATTGCATCTCAGATATAACTAAAACAAACAAAGTCTTCTAATACAGCCTGGATTTTGTTCATTGGCAGCATAATAAGTGGAAAGAACAAATATCAAATGTCCAATGTGCATGTATCTACCAAGTATGTGTTATATAACATCTGAAGACAGCAAAGCATGAGAAGCCACAACCAAAATGTGTCGCATTAACTTTGGTTATGGAAGTTTGGAAACTCACTCAGCTGGCAGGACCACTTATATGTGCGGGGGGAAGGGACGGACTGCTTCTCTTTGTGCTTGTCTTTCTCCATGTCTTTACTGTTGGGAGAAGCCAGACCGGGCGACCGAGAAAGCTTATGGCTCTTGGATAGGCTGGAGTGCTTGACTGGGGTTAGCTTATTAGAGCTGTCCATGGCTGGCAGGTCCTCACTGTCGCTACTGTGACCTGGAGACATGCAGCGAGAGATTTTATCAAGTTTGAGTCCAAGACAAAAATGACCCGTCATGCATAGTTAAAGCTATCATTGGTCACAAATAGAAATTAAAGCTAAAATGTTTAGTTTTGAGCATGAGAAATGAAGCAGAGTTTAATCAGACAGCCAAGAGAAGTGTAACATCACATGACATCAGACAAGTTAGCGAAACCATTCTCTGGTATCATCATATTTGACTCTGTTGTCTTTTCACCAACCTTATATTATTAATATATATTCAATATTTAAAGAAAAAAAACTAATTTAATAAACCTGACCTAACCTTTCAGGATATGAATCGTAAGGAAGAACATTTTATAAAATTAAAAATAAATAATAATAATAATAACTTTAATAAGGATGCACCGAATTTTCGGCAGCCGAAAATTATCGGCCGAAAATGCAAGCCGAAAATATAGGCTACATATAATAATAAAAATAATAATATATGGTGCGCCGCGCCCCGCCCGGCAGTGTTCAGTGCGCAGGTTTCACTCTCCTTGTCACAGCGCGGGTTGACGCTCCGCTCAATATTCTGCTCTATGAATGTGTACCGCTCATGCTCACCGGAAAAGCTCAAATAACACACCGACAGGAAATTTCTATACAGTATACTTGTTCCTGTTTGCAGTAGCGCTACTGTGCTGTTACATGCTGTAGGCTAGTACAGCTGTACTGGGCAACGCTGGTAAAATGATGCTACCTTCAGTGACGCTTTGCTCTGCTCACATGCTCTGATAATAATAGCTTTGTAGGACTATACATTTGGATAATTAGTCCAAAAAAACAACAACAACTTGTATCTGATTGTGTTACAGTAGTGAATAAAAATAATATATTGATATTTATTAAGGTAACACTTTACAATAAGGTTCCATTAGTTAATGTATTAACTAGCATGAACAATGAACAATACATTTATCACAGTATTTATTACTCTTTCTTAATGTTAGTTAATGAGAATACAGTTGTTCACTGTTAGTTCATGTTAATTCAGAGTGCATTAACTGTTAACAAGCACAAATGTTGATTTTAATAATGCATTAGTAAATGTTGAAGAACTATTGTTCATTCTTAGTTCATGTTAACTAAAGTAGTTGACTAATGAACATTGTAAAGTGTTACCAAAATTAATATAAATTCTGTCCAGTTTTATTGTGTTACTTTCAGTAAAAGTGTGGTTATTTTATTGGCTTGTGTTTTTTTTTAATTCAGTATCATTAAAATGGAGTTAAATTTAAAAAGTCTTACAAAATTACTTTATATTATTTAATAAAATAATAAATAATCATTACAAAGCATTTTCAGTTTCGGTTTTCGGCCAAGTGCATCCAGAATTTTTGGTTTCGGCCCAGAAATTTCATTTCGGTGCATCCCTAAACTTCAATATCGGTTTATAGCAAACAACTAATAGAAAAAGTAAACCCTGACTTGGGCATCAATCCATTAACGCTTTCAAGGCTTTGAACTTGCATCAAAACACTCACCTGCTCCATTCTTCTCTGTTTTACATACTGTGCTTGAACGTTTCTGACTGCGTTTTTGCTTCTTGGCCGACGAGCCAGTAGTGCAATCCAATAACCTCTTCTGACCTGAAAATTCAAATTAGGAACAACACAATAAGTAAACCTCTCAGAACAAAAGCAGCCAAGCAGTCAAATCAATTCTTTGACATAAAAATGCAAATATAGTAATAGACAATATATAGAACTTATATATCATATTAGACGCTATATTGAATTTAACACGGGTGAAAACAAGGCTGTGAGGGGTTGACTTGCAGTCTTTACGATAACACGCACTGTATAAAGTTCCTAGATCACATTATTATTATTAGTTTTCTGGAGCTTTTGTCTTCTCAAACTTTTTTTTTGGATAAACATTTCATCAGCTAAACAATCGGTATGTTGTTAAACAACAGTACAATCCATTGTACACACTGTAATTCAGTCCCTCAAAAGTTAAATATGGTGTAACCCCGACAAAGGTCTATTGCTGATCATAACATTTAGGCCAAAAGTCAAATAGCTATTTTTTCCAATTCATATGGCTCACTCTTTAAAACCAGGTTTCAAAAGTCAGCTATTGGCATTATCTAAATGTACATCAACATTTAACCTACCTCTGTCCTTTCCATCTCGATCCTGCAGTGAGATGCTGGAATTGCTTGAACTTGCACTAGCATCAAAGCTATGAGTTGACTCGTTCTCCCCAAGCCCCTCCTGTGATTCTGCGACACTGTCCACTTCGATGGTGGCGTCGCTCTCACTCTTAGTGCTGTGAGATTCGTCCGGGCTGGGGGCAGAAGACGGGGAAAACAGACGTGGAGGGCCCACTGCAGCCAGGACATGAGGAAGTTGGTCAGAAGTCTCCAGAGGCTGTGCTTTCTCTTCCTTCATCATTAACAGTAACTCTTCACCAGAGGGCCTGTCCTTCTCCTCTGGATCGTCAAGGTCCACTTCATGGCAGACAAGCGCCTCGGGGCCGATTTGTGGCATCATTTCCTCGTTTGCAGTTGTTGTTGGATCCTCCAGCTCTAGGCAAGGAGGTTCCACCCTGAGGTGCACCTCTCTGGTAAGAGCAGGCATCTCAGATTTCATCTCGATATCTTTACTGGGAGATGATAATGTTGGAGAAGGGTGTTCCTCTGGTTTCTGCACCACCTCGGTCTTCTTCTCAGGATCAGGTTTCTTCTCCAGCAGCGGTGTTTTAACTGGAGAAAACATTTTGGGTTCTTCTTTTCTGTCCAGGCGGATTTTCTTTTCCGGTGTTCGCTGTTCAGTGACTTTGCGTTTCACTGCGGTGCTTCGCTCTGGCGGGCCGATGTCCTCGGTTGCGGAGTCTGTGTCTGAGCCGGCTGTCTCCACCGGCTTTATTCTCTCTACAGGACTGCTGTGTGGCGTTTCCTGGGATTTCTTCGCAGGTCGCGGAGGAGTGGAGGGTTCCTCTGTCTCGGTGTGATTAGCAGCAGCAGGTGTTTGTGTGGGAGTCTCTGATCCTGGTTCTTTCAAACAAGGCTTCTTCGCTTTTGGTTTTGGAGATCCGTCATCAGACTCAACAGGGAGCAGGGATGTGACTTCCTCAGGTTTGCTCTCGCTCTCCTTGAAGTTTGGCATCTCCTGAGGGCTGCTGGGAAGTTCAGGCTCAGTCTGCACAGGTTCTGGCATTGTGCTCTCCTCTGGGAGATTCTCTGCTGCCTCTTGTTTTGCTGTCAGGGGTGGATCGGTTGTCTCGGTCCATTCCAGCTTTTTCTCAGGAGATTCCTCGCACTCACTATCATCCGAGGAGTTCCCTGAATCTAAAAACATGAATAAAAGAATATACATTAAAGTCAATATGCATGAAAAGTTAACCATCAGGTATGATGGTTAAAACTAGTGATGCACATATGTATTGGACAATTAAAGCAATTATCTGTGTTTTCTGAGCAACTGTTGAAAAACAGTCAACGCCGGACCCAATTAAATTTAAAATGGGGTGGTAAGAGGCATTGGACAGTTACAAACTTGTAAAGTGTTGAAACTGTAGCACACTTTCATGTGATTTTAACCCTGTAGTTCAGCATGAGCTTACCGGTTTATATTTCTCATATATAAATAAATTTCCATATGATAGCTGGCCTTTCATTTCATATTGAGAAACTGAGTTTTAAAATATGTCAAAGAATACAATCCTTTACATTTCTTTTAAAGATGTGTTTTAAAGCAAGGTGACAGAAAATAAAAACCATCAAGCTATCAGTTTCAGCAGGTGTTGATTTTTCTATCGATTCAAAGCGAAGTGAGCTGCTCTTACCATTAGATCCTCTATCCGAATCATACATTCCAGAAGTTCTCCTCGTTCGCCGACAAGGGGTACCTGTTCAAATATAAAAAAATAAAAAAATAAATAAATAAAGGTACATGTTAAAGCATATGCCAAATACATAAATATAAGTGTAACTTATAACTAGTGGTGCTCCGATTGATCGGCTACCGATCACTATCGGCCGATAATCACATAGAGATGTTTGATCAGCGGCGTGCTCTCTCTTTCTCTCTCAAAATACGCAAATGGCTTCAAATCACCACATCGCGTCTGTCTATAAGCGAGCTGCACGCTGCACAGATGGCACAGGAATTGTCACTTGCACAATCGAGGCAGTGTCACATCGTCACTAAAGTTTATAAATTGCATTACTTTTTAATTCTTGTCAGTGTTTAACCATTCAGTGCTCGAGTGCTCTCCTGGAGACGAAGCGCTCATGCACACTCGCAGCGCACACACATAATACCAGGTTCACATTACTCCGTTTGCAGTGCGTATGCGATGCATATTTTTTCCGCGCTCATGTTCACAGATTAATAAAGCATTCACACTGCACACGGTTGCTGTCCGTCAGTGCGTTCAGGAGCGGTGCGTCTGCAGCAGTGCAGAGATCGTTTCTGCACTGAGTCTATTTTTGCTGTGCTGCAAGCCTGAATTAAAGTAACAGCGCATTGTTTGCAGTAAATATGAACATGGATTGACACAAAAATGTAGTAATTACACCATAAATGCATATTATTAAAGTCTACTGTGTTTCACAGTCACAGTTGGCTAGGTTTAAAGGAAAAGATCACTTTTAGATAAACAAGGCAATAATAGATGGCACTCGTAGAAGTAGGAAAACAAAGTTCTTTATGAACTGCAGGATTGCTTGTAATAAAGATTTAAATGCAAAAGAAAAGGCAGTAGAGCTGACTATTTCAGTCAATGGCAAGTTTGTGATAACGTAAGAAAAGTAGTTTAAATGTTTTGCCACTTGCTTGAGCAACTTAATATATAAATCTAGAAGTAAATGCAAAAGTAAAAAGCATTGAATAATGTGTTGCTTATATTTATGGTGTTTAAACACGTCTGTGAAAGATTGCATTACTGTACGGTGTTAAAAAAGAATTGCAATGCTGAAAAAGCATTTTCAGTGACAATGTTTGGATTTGAAATCAAACTAATGGATAAATGTTGTGTTTGTGGTAAACAGCCACGGATCAGAAGCGGACACCTGTGTGAAAGCACAGTCCGTGCTGCTTCCCCTGTCCAAAGAGTCACCTAAGAGGGGAAATCCCCCCCATTTTCAAAAATGAAATTCAGGCCCTGAATAAATGTCTAAAAATCCTGACTGGAGTACCACTATAAATAGTTATAAATGATAAAAAGAATGCTTTAAAAGATCAGTATCGGTGATCGGTATTGGCAGATACTGCTTTCGGCAATCAGCCTCAAAAATCCTGATCGGAGAACCCCGATAGTATAACAATAGTAATGTTGAACAAAACCCACCAAGCCATTAATCTTATTATAGAAACTAGAATGTTTGTTCATCACATGGCAAAATGCAGCTTTCTGTGACTTTTGTGACAGGAAGGTGGTTAAAAAAAAAAAAAAAAACATGATGTTTTTACCATTCCATTTACCAGACCTGGGGCCTGTACCATGAAGCTGGATTAGCTGGTTAGCCAGGTAAATTTCAGTTTAGTTTGCACCAATCCTGGGTTTTAGGTACCATGAAAGTGGCTTGGCTTTTAGCTGCGTTCATTGCCATAGTAACTTTCACTCCACGGCTAACCTGCTCTGGGGTAGGTTATGTTCCGAGTTAGAGAGCTCAAACTGAAATTGGACCAATCAGATGTGAGCATAGTGACACATGTCTGACACAAAAAAAAGTCACTCCCCCAGTTTCTCTTGCTCCAAATTATTTTGGATTAATTAAAAATTGTCTGGCCAACACCAAAAATGGAGTTATTTTATATGATTTATATAATTATATGATTTACATTATTATTAATCCATTACACACAAGCAAATTTAGTTTAACAGTTATTATAATTTATTTTAAATTAATGTTAATATATACAGATCCTATGTAATATAAATAAGCTGTAGAATCAATAGATAACACTTTAAATATGACTACGTGACATTACATGTTCAAGTCTTTGTCGCTGTATATTTCCAACTATATAAACGAACTTAACAAGTTTCACTTGTGACTGCACTGATAAAGCAAGATCATTTCTTTTATTTGTCCTCTTTCATGAACAAGTACTTTTTTCATTGTAAATGCATTTAAATTAATCATATTCTTCAATCTCTTAACCTTTAGCAAAACCTTTAACCAAGGCTCGTGATTGGCTGTTCGCCAGTGATGTCACATTCATGTGCACATGCTCCACAAACTCAAGACCAAAGCCTGAGTTGACAAAGAAAGTTGATGATCAGCATCATGGTACCAACAAAGCCGGATTGGAGTGGTTTGGTTTTGTCAACTCGAAACCAATCCTGTAACTCTGAATTTGTTCATCTACCATCATGGTACAGGCCCCTGAACTTCAGCTGCAAGATCACACAAGTTATACACAAATCTTACCCTCTCCATTTGGCAGGGCAGAGGCATCTGTGGGCCGCGAGTTCTTGCTGCTGGAGCGACCCTCGCTGCTGGGGGTCTTGGACACACTGTGGGAAGTGCTGGGAGGGGTGGATTTGAGTGGAGGACGGCCTCGCCGTATCCCTTGTTTGGCCTGTTTATCCTCCTCTTTCTCCTTCTCTTCATCTTCTTTATTCTATGGTGAAGGAAAGCACAAAAATAATTTTTTTTCCAAGGTTCTCAAAAGTTAAATATGGTTTTTGTTTTTAAGACAGATTGCCACTCACCTTGACTTTTTTCTTTTGTTTTCTCTTTGTTCCACCCTTATCGACAGGCCATATTATTCGATCTGCCTTGACCCATTCATCATATCTGTTACAGAGACAAAACAATCTCTTGAATAATATTGTCAACATTCACAAGATGAACAATAAATAACCCTTTCGGTCTTCATGAACCATTCTAATCCTTATAAATGAACAATGAACATTTAATACATGTTGTCTGAGAGGTACGAAATCTCATACTGGAATCTCTAATGGTAACAGGCTAACACTGTGTCATAACTACATGCGCCGCGACAATACGATAAAAGGTATCTTTTCCATGTTAATCTGAGTTTTTGTCCTAACTAGCTGCGATGGCGACGGGTGAAATTTCTATTTTAGAAACTGTTTCTATTTCCGCGATGTTGCAGCTGGAACAACAACATACAAACTATATGACACTGATAATCTCAGGTGATTATGTGCTTTATTCAAAGTTAAACGTGTCCAATATGAGTTTTGAAGCAACAATACAGGTGCATCTCAATAAATTAGAATGTCATGGAAAAGTTCATTTATTTCAGTAATTCAACTCAAATTGTGAAACTCGTGTATTAAATAAATTCAATGCACACAGACTGAAGTAGTTTAAGTCTTTGGTTCTTTTAATCACAGACTGTGGAAACTTAACACTGGACTTCAAGCAACTTGGGCTATGAGCTTTTCCACCCTTTTTCCAGACTCTAGGACCTTGGTTTCAAAATGAAATACAAAACTTGCTCTCATCTGAAAAGAGGACTTTGGACCACTGGGCAACAGTCCAGTTCTTCTCCTTAGCCCAGGTAAGACGCCTCTGACGTTGTCTGTGGTTCAGGAGTGGCTTAACAAGAGGAATACGACAACTGTAGCCAAATTCCTTGACACGTCTGTGTGTGGTGGCTCTTGATGCCTTGACCCCAGCCTCAGTCCATTCCTTGTGAAGTTCACTCAAATTCTTGAATCGATTTTGCTTGACAATCCTCATAAGGCTGCGGTTCTCTCGGTTGGTTGTGCATCTTTTTCTTCCACACTTTTTCCTTCCACTCAACTTTCTGTTAACATGCTTGGATACAGCACTCTGTGAACAGCCAGCTTCTTTGGCAATGAATGTTTGTGGCTTACCCTCCTTGTGAAGGGTGTCAATGATCGTCTTCTGGACAACTGTCAGATCAGCAGTCTTCCCCATGATTGTGTAGCCTAGTGAACCAAACTGAGAGACCATTCTGAAGGCTCAGGAAACCTTTGCAGGTGTTTTGAGTTGATTAGCTGATTGGCATGTTACCATATTCTAATTCTCTTTTTGTTAAATGTGAGCCAAAATCATCACAATTAAAAGAACCAAAGACTTAAAACTACTTCAGTCTGTGTAAATTGATTTTATTTAATACACGAGTTTCACAATTTGAGTTGAATTACTGAAATAAATGAACTTTTCCACGACATTCTAATTTATTGAGATGCACCTGTAGATAGTTTACCTCAGATCTTGAAAATAAATTAAAGCATAGATGTACGTTAAAACTGTGAACTAGGGCTGAAACGACTAGTCGACATTAAAAAAAGTTGTAGAGTAGTCATTTGATCTCATATGACCTAATGTAAGAGCCTGCAATAACGTGGTTTAACCAGTGTGGCGCAAGACTGTAATTCAACTCTCCTGATGCAAATCAAGAGAAGACGCAGCGGCAGCGCTTCAAAGACAGCCAAACCTGAGGCTGCTGAGCAGCGTTTGCATGAATATGTAAACATACAGTGGGTACGGAAAGTATTCAGACCCCCTTAAATATACTTTCCATACCCACTGTATACTGCGCACTTTCCTCTCAATAACAAAATAAACACATTAAGTGTGAGCGGTGAGAAAGCAGCAGTTTAAAACGCATCTGATTACAGCGATGTGGATGTTTGCACGAGCTCTGCAGTTCAGTACTCCAGTAAAGTCACGTAACGTATATTTATATAGTATTTTATGCAATAGATAGCCTTAAATCTAGCAGCTTTACAGTATTATTAAACATGAAAAACCAGAGTCAGTGTTGCTCTCGGTTAGAATTACAACTTGATTTTCTGTTATAAAACAGCTCTCCAGTGTGGAGCTAGCTAATGATAAAATATTTTTATTAGTGGGGAAAAAAACATTTCATTAAAGTTATAGTTTGGTTTGCAGAGATCAAAACTTGATCTACCTCAGGACTGTTTTTATTATCATAACCGTAATAAGGTATTTTAAGAGAGATTATGTTGTGAATATTAGTTTATCCAAAAATAAAACGTCTGATCACTTAACCTTTATATTGTTTCTTATCCACATGACTTACAAAAATATATTTTAGGTAGAATGATGTGCCATTCAGCTACTTTTTCATATAGCTAATTAAATGGTGAATAAGCGAGTTTCTCTGCCATCTCATTTTGTGTGCCAAATATATTTATTTATATAAATTAATTGTATAACTGTAATTACATATGACTTTCAAAAGCTGAAGTGATTACCTTAATTTATTTGTTAGAATATGTATAACTCAATATTTTAACTAATTGCAAAAGCAGAATAATCAATAAATGTCTACTGATTAACCAGCAAAATAATCGATGATTAGTCGATTCATCGGTCTAATAGTCGTTAGATTAATCAATTATCAAAATAATTGTTAGTTGCAGCCCTACTGTGAACTCAATGCGAACCAACAAGTGTTATTCTATAACAAAGATGGTATCAGTCACTTGGTATGTACATTTAATAATGTTAAAAAGGTTTAATATTTATGAATTAGATCAAAAACGTATCCATTTATTTGCGAGTGCAGAGCGCTTCCAGAGAGAGCCCGCCCACACACCCTTCTGATTGGCTGTGATATTTGATTTGATTCTGTCGTGTCACGATGTCGCGTCGCATTTGGCGTGGACACCCAAATCGCTTGTCGCTGGAATCTTGTTGTGTCACGTGTAGTTAGGTCACGGTGTAAAGGTTTATTATAACATACGTGAATTTCAAGCAGAGGTTAATCAGACAGCCAAGAGAACTGTAACATCACATGACATCAGTCAAGTTAGCGAAACCATTCTCTGGTATCATCATACTTGACCCCATTCTCTTTTAACAAGCCTTCAATTTTCAGCAGAAATGGGCAGTACATACAATATTCAATATATGTATCTGCAGGCAAAATCCAGCCATAATTTTCACATGCATCCAGTCATAATCCACTAATTATAGTCCTTTCATATGACAAGTGAATTAAACATTAAAAGGCAGTTACATCAACACCTCACCTCACATTCCAGCCGTAATAATGAACCAGGTAAAGAGCCTCTCCATCATCGGTTTCTGTGTTCTTGATGTTAGCTTCATAGATCTTCTGTGTCTTCCCCTTGCCGTATTTCACTTTGACTTTAGTGCCAGTCACAGAGTCCTCACAGCCGTCATCCTCCTCCCTCTCATCTCTGTCAAACAAACACGAATGATTAGATTCTTCATCCACACAGAAATTACCGTATCATAGAAAACTGGAATTTTGTTGTTTGATATACTATATAGACATATACTACCATTCAAAAGTTTGGCATCAGTAAGATTTTTTAAAGAAATCAATTCAGCAAGAAAGCATAAATTCTTCAAAAGTGTCAGTAAAGAAATTGACAATGTAACAAAAGATTTTCCAAACACGTGCTTTTTTTTTTTTACTTTCAAAGTTTATCAAAGAATCCTAAAAATGTGTCAGTTTTCACAAACATTAAGCGGCACAACTGTTTTTAACACTGATAATAAGAAATGTTACTTGAGCATGAAATCAGCATATTAGAATGATCTAAAGCAGTGGTCGCCAACCCGTCGATCGTGAACAAGGAAACGCTATATTGCAGTCGATTCATAAGCAGTGTTGCCAAGTCCACGGTTTTCCCGCGGAATTGGGCTACTTTAACACTGTTGCCGCGGGTTGTTGTTCATGTCCGCGGGTTGAAGCGATCCCAATAACGTGATATTTTACCCCCGGAATGCGAATTTTACAGGGGAACCCCCTCGAAACACGATTGGACTAGTTTTATTGCGAAAACCTGGCAACCCTGTTCATTAGTGTCACCTGTGGTCAGAGAGTGAGTCTCATTCAGACCTGCTGTTGTTTCGCGCAGATGTTTTATGTAGCAAATAAAAAAATAACACCTAAAGTTAGACCATTCTGTTTTTGTTTTAAATCCTGAAATTAATCTAAATCGAATAAAAAAAACAACTGCCCGTGCTGATTAAAATGCAGTGGTTGCCTCTAATTTCAAATGGCTAGATATTTTTGTTTAAAGCCAGTTTGTTTGTTATAAAGCAACTAGTCAATAAATACATTTGCTTAAAAATCAGTATCAGTATCCAATTTGCTAGTTAAAAAAAATTAAAGAAAAGAAAATCTGAATCAGATATGACTGGCACATCACTCATTAAAATAATAAGTAAAAGGCCTCAAATTTGAAGTACAATCTGGGATGTCTTTTTCTATCAATTCTTCAATAGGTAGATCTTGTCTTTCATAAAGGCCGAGGTCAGGGATCTTGGGCCTAAAAAGGTTGGTGACCACTGATCTAAAGGATCGTGAGTAATGGCTGCTGAAAAAAAGTCACATTTTAAAATATATTAAAATAGAAAAATGTTAATATTTCAAAACATTACAGTTTTTACTGTGTTTAATCAAATAAATGCAGCCGTGGTGAGCATAAGAGACTTCCTTCAAAACAATATCCAAAACATCTCTACTCAAAAGCTCCCCCAGCCTAACCACAGTTTATAGAATCTAAGCTGCACAAATTAGAATACTGTTCAGGAATTACAACACTGCAATCCCAACCACAAGCAAATTAATGTATGATCACCTAATTTAGAGGTATCGAAGAAAAACTCTTCTCTTTAGCAAAAACAGGCAATTTTAACTTTAAAATGAAGTTATTTGAAGTTCAACTGTAAAGATATCAGTTTGTAATTAAGAATTGAGTGAAGTTCAAAAAGGTGCCCCTTTCAACAAAATGTCTCAAAGAAATCTAGGTAGCTCTGACTCTGAAATTACTAATGAATTAACACCATCTCTCCGGTGTTAATGCAGAGATAAATCAGACAGCCAAGAGACGTGTAACATCACATGAGATCAGTCATGTATGCGAAACCATTCTCTGGTATCATCATTTCTGACTCTGCTGGAACAGGTTCAAATCCAAAATTTCAAGCCTAATCCCATGCATGACCGTTTTCTTACCAAAAGCTCCACAAGAGAGCCATTCAGAATTGAAATGACATTAGGTACAACATTACAGGATTGTACTATAAATCAGTTCATCAAGACAGTAAAACATTTAACAGGTTAAACACAGATAGTGACATACCGGTCCCCGAGTCTGGATCTCTCGCCATCGTCTTCCTCATCTTCATCATCCTCCTGTTCTTCATCATCAGTATCTTTATCAGACTCCTCAAGGTGGCGGCTGCGTCGTTTCCCAGGGGTCTCCCCATCAGATTTCTCCTTTTGCTCCTCTTCACTGTTTTCTCCTTCAATTTGTGTCTCCTCCTCCTTCTCTTCCTTTGGATTCTCCTGTTTCACAGGCTCTTTCGCCTCTACTTTCACAGGGGTCACTGTACACCGCCGCCGGCCCTGAGGAGTAACACACATACAACCAAGATATTTTAGCTAGGAAGAAAAATACATAAATGTGAAGCTCCTACACAAACTGGTTATTTTGAATATTTAAAGTCATGTCACATTCTATGAAGAGAAAGTTTATGATAACCGACGTTCTAGAACTATTATAACCAGTTAAACACACTCACAATTACGAGAGCATCAGAGTAAATATCTTAATTGTAGTTAGGGGTGGGCGATATGGCAAAAAATATAATATCATATTTTTTCAGAAATATCACGATTTTATCACGATTCTTTGTCATGTTGGTTTTACTATTTTCCAAGTAGTCTGAGCAGTACAGCCAAACTAATTTCCCTATTTAAAAAAAGCCTTATAAAAGGTGTAAAAAAATAAATAAAAATAGCAGACATTTAGGCCAAAGTGGGCGAAGATAAAAAATCTTTGTCATTATTTTATCTTTTTTTATTAAATAATAAGAACAAAGATAGGTTACATGTTACAAATACACATAATATACAAATAAAACAAACAGTGCTATATTTTTCAGGTACAGTAGGTGTATTTAGCAGTAGCAATCAAGAAATTGAATTAACAAATATAAAAATAAAGCACTATATACACCATATACATAAATTATACATTGACTCTTATTAAAGCAACTGTATTAAAAGTTCTTCAGTCAAGAGCCTTGCGTGATTTCTTTCTCATTGTGTTTTGTTTTATTACCATTATAGGATATCTCACCCAAAAATTACAATTCTGTCATCATTTACTCACTGTCGAGGTGCTTTTTGTTGTTGTTTTTATCCTAATGAGTTTCTTTCTTCTGTTGAAAATAAAACTTATTTTGAAGAATGTGGGTAACCAAACAGTTGCTGGTCCCCAGCTACTTCCATACTATTTTGTTAATTTTTTCCCACTATCGAAGTCAGTGTGAACCAACTACTGTTTGGTTACCCACATTCTTCAAAATATCTACTTTTGTGTTCAGCACAAGAAAGAAATTAATACAGGTTTAGGACAACATGAGTGAGTAAATAATGACAGAAATTAAATTTTTGGGTGAACTATCCCTTTAATGACAAGTGGCAGCATGTTTAGTACTGTCGCTTTCAGACCTGCACGCATCTAATATACATGCATCAGTTTTCTGTTCTGTTCAACTGTACACTTTAGACATAACCAACTGTGTTTATATGTAATCCTCGTGTGTTTTTGACAGTATTAGCTCAATCAGATGCAAAACATAACTTAGTCCAGTAATTAGGCGCTTTGACTGGCTTTTTAGCATGTGCGCGCTTCAGGTGTACGCACTAAGAGAAAGCACACGTCAGAACAGCAGACGGATTAAATATTTAACCGGCAAGGCTTTAAAGCACATGCAAATTATGTACTTTTGTGATAGCAAATAAGTGCAGTGTCCCGTGCGTGTATCTCTACAGCTAACATTTGATTTGAATGTATGTCAGGTTGTAACCTTACAGTATTTTGAGACGGAGGCGTGCTGTAGCACGATACTACGATATTTCTTCAAAAGGAGATCGTAGAGACATTTTAATCGTCCACAATCAAAAAATTTCATATTGCACACCCCTAATTGTAGTAGAATTAAATGTTTTAGTAAGCTACTAATGGTCAAACACTAACCTTTTAAAAGAATAGTTCAGTAAACATTTTAAATAATTTCATTAATTTGTAAATATGCATAAATATGAATGAGTTTGGTTTGAAAGTCTGTATGAATATTTGTAGCAAATAATGTCAAAAAAGCACCATAAAAAGTCATGTGTTGTATTCCGAGTCCTTGATAAAAAGTTTGATAACTTGTGAGAAAAGAAACTCACAAAAATGTATTTAATTCATTCATTTACACATACATACATATATATACAGTGGGGGAAAAAAGTATTTAGTCAGCCACCAATTGTGCAAGTTCTCCCACTTAAAAAGATGAGAGAGGCCTGTAATTTTCATCATAGGTATTCCACTGTACATACATATATACATAGATACATATATACATATATACACACACACACACACACACAAGCTTGCTTAAGAGTCATGGTCAACATTCACTTTCATTTTATGGAACAAGCAGCATTCAAAAGCCATGAGAGTGAGGTTTTATTTTTGGGTGAGCTGTTCATTTAAATGCATGATGTTTTCCGGTTTAAAAACCCAAAATAACAGACATGCCCTTAAAATCAATTTAAAGTCAAAAAATGCGTATCAGACAGCCAAGAGAAGTGTATCATCACATGACATCAGGTCATGAATGCGAAACCATTCTCTAGTATCATCATGTACATTTCCTCCAACTCATTCAAGTACAAAAAAAACAAAAAAACAAAACACTTGTAATAGAAGTGTTTTTGCATTGCAGCATGAAATCCGACATCCTGAGAGCAGCCCAACAGAAAGACAGACAGACACTCACCCTGGGCGAGCAGATATCTTTGTGTCCCTTTTCGCTCTCAGTATCTGACTCATCAGCGTCTGCCGCAGGTTTGTCCTCGCTAGTTTCAGGCTCCGCTGTAACCTGCTGCATCATCTCATCTGTGTCTCCGCTCTCTTTTTTCACAGTCTTAACGCACTGCACTTCCGGCTGGCGGTCTGGTCGTGGCTCGTTGTGGTGCACCGTCCTGAACTGGATCTGAGCAGAGCGGCAGAACTCCTCAAATCCATACAGGTACCTGAGGTTCAAGTAAAATGATAAGCAATGTTAGCAATATTAATCAAGAGGAGTCATTTTCAGGAAAGTTAAAATATGGGCATTCTCCAAATGTTTTTATACTCAAGCAGAGGATAATGAGACAGCCAAGAGAATTGTAACATCACATGACATCAGTCAAGATAGTGAAACCATTCTCTGGTATCATCATATTTGACCCTATGCTTGTTTAACAAGTCTTCAATTTCCAGAAGAGCTGGGTTTATTTTTTATTTAACCATTACATGAAGTATATCTTAGAAACGGCGCAGCTGCATGTCTGAAATGTTTGTGTTACTGCATACTTGCCTGCTAGGCATTCAATGTAAAGTTTATTTACTGTACATGCTTTTTATTCCTTTGTTTACACTGAAGAATCAGTTAAAAAAAATCAGTTTGCTGTAGTCGAAAGCATGCCACAGATGCAGTCCATAAACATCAAGTTGTACATAACTCAAAATGTTCCTTTAACAGTGCAGCAAAAGTCACCTTCCAAAGTGGAAAATTGTCTCCATTTGCCAACGACACAAAAATAACACTGGCTGCTGAGTAAACAAATATAGTCCTGTACAGCAGGAATTGCGAGAGCATTCACTTACTTTCTGTAGGCTGTTTTCACATTGTACGAGGCAGCAGAGTTCAGAATCGGGATGCCAAGATCCATGTAGATCTGTTTCCAAATAGAGCCGCTTTCAATCTAAAAACAAAATAGACCATCTCATTACACAAGTCATTTTGATGACTAAAAGTGCTAATTCTTGCTGCACAGAGCACATGCACATGTGTCTACCGCACCCTAGGATCAGATAGCTTAGAGAAACATGACATCACTCGAACAAGCTCAACCGTTTTCCCAATTATCACCAGTCCAAACTCCCAAATATAATTACCCTCAATAACATTCACAGAACATGCATTTGATAAACAAGCAATTTTTCAACTCAGTCCAGCTCTGTGAACTTAACAAATTCAATCAGCGGCCACTTTCGCTTCATATTTTTGGCAAGGTCTCACTTCCCACTTGCCGAGTACAATAAACAGATGGTGGGAACGCTAAGAACACTCACATTGTCACAGCCTCCGTGAATATGCACCAGTCGGAAGAGCTTGAAGAGGTTGAGATCCTTGTAGCCAAGCACTGGAGGTTTGTTAATTGGCGTCCCTGGAAGGAAAGCAAAGGTGCAGAGAAGCGTTAAACCGAAAATGTGCCCTGCAGAACTAGTCATGAGATTCTTCTATTGGGAAAAAAATAAAAATAATTGAACTTTTGAGGCCACACACACGAAGACTATAAAAGACATCCACCATGATATACGCCATGTAGCCGCCCCCATGAAGATTGTTAATCCCCATATAATTTTTTTCCCCCATAGTGATTATAACTCAACGGGTGATGTGCAGGCATTACCTCTGTCCTCCATGAATTTGTAAAGTTGCTGTAGAAAGTGGTCCCTTTCTTCTGGGTCTGGCTCATCATCAGGCTGTTTAAGAGAAAGCAAGTACAACATCTGAATTTGACGTTCGGCAACAGTGGAATTATCTATTACCATCTTTTTTAAACTCATAGGCCACATAAACAACAAAGTAGTTTTCTCAGTGCATATAATCGATCACTGACTGAGGATCAATTACCAAACACTTTGATCCTCTCTGTGACAGTTTTGCATAAAACACCCTTAAAAAAACATGACTCTAACATGCAAATTAAAAAGATCATTTGTATATAAAAAAAAAAAGCTAAAATCCTGTAAGCAGCAAATAGGAACTGTGAGGAATTTAACTACTCTGATTTCTGGTTCCTTATTGACTATTTACAACTCTTTTACCAATTTAGAAAAAACAAACATTGGCTTAAATAAAGCCAATTACTTCTTAATTACAGATTTTTAATGCATGGCATGTATTTGAACATAATTGGTTCCATTTTACTCATCCGATTTCTTTTTATGAAACATCACTTATTAAAATAAAATTTTCAAAAAATCTGTTTTGGTGTGCATCTTTAATTACATATTTGTCATAAGAACAACCAGTCAGTAATTACACTAATACAAGTCTCACAACATATACAACACAGCAGCAGTTGTCATAGTTGGATGTGACTGAAAGCGAGTCAGATTAACTTATTAACCACTCCTACTGATTCATAAGTGTTTTTGATCAAAAAGAACCAGCTCATAATAACCATCCATTTCTGAATGGGATTTCACTAATCACGCGATGCTTGTGGTTGCATACACGCATACATAAAATAGCAGTGAAATTTTTTTAATGAAATGAAAATTTGGGGGGAAAAAATGAAAATTTGAAAGCATTTTAGTTCAGGCATCTTCTACATTAAAGAAAGAATGGACAATCAAGAGCTATAACGGTCAAGCAAACATATTAAATATTAAAATAACATATGGAATATTATGTCAAGTATATGGGGGTGTCATTGCCTGAAGGTTGTGTTGCAACTTGCAATACATCTTAAACACTATTTTAAAACCTTACATATTCTAATTTCTGCCTTTAGCATTAAAGTGAGGCATCTCTATCGCACAGGAAAGAGAACTCAGCAAAAGTCAAGCATCTGTCAGGCTGTATTTTTAATGATCTGATACATTCACAATACAGCAAATATCAGGATTTACAAAGCTATATGCCTAAACTATCAAATGCACTAATTTTCAAACCAGTCAAATTATACAGGGCTTCCTTAAAACAGATTAGTCTATCTAAACCAACTACCTGATTTTAAGAATGTGCAGTTTCACACATCCACAGTTTAAACAGAATCCTAGTGCTGGCTTTCTCAAGATACAACTCAATAAAAAGAAAAACAACCCATCATTTCAAACAAATTTCTCAACTTATCTTTTTCACATACTGGCCTTATAATTGTGCAATGTGCCCGACCTTCTCCAGCGAGGAGAGAAGACTCTTTGAGATGAGCTCAGCCCAGCCCACCATCAGAACTGGCACACCTCCACTGGGCCAATCCCGCAGCCTTTTCACAACCAAAGGAACGAGCAGTTGCCATGGGAACGTGTCGGAAAACCAAGCGAATGGCCATTTGTCCAAACTCGGGGAGCAGGAAGAATGAGACATTGTTGTCCAGAGCCTGAGGGCTTTCCCACATGCTGAGACCATTCAGTGGGCTTAATCAAGGTGTACGAGAACATGAGATGTAAAGGGCCGCAGGAATGTCTTCACAAATCAACAAACAACACTGGGATTCTCTCAATCGGCACTGGTCACAAATAGCCTCGTATTACTTAAATATGCATGGTGCCCAGCTCTGGCAACCCCTTTAATCAGAGCAATCACTGCAGAACTACATGGCAATCACTGAGACCAAGAAACAAGGGTCCAAGTAAGAGCATAAACTGAAACACAGTCAAAAAGGAGGAAAAAATAACCATGGCTCACAAGTTCGAAAGACAAGACCGCAATTTTCCAACACCACCAACTTCTGAATACGTCAGCAGCACACCACATCTTTTCAACACTTGATAAATAAGTTTAACTTTTGAAGGAAACACCATTTCAAGGTAAACAAATGGAACTGGAGTCTTACTTCCTCTGGTTCTGGCTTCTTCTCCTCCTCTTCGCCCACTTTTCCTTCACCATCCTCATTATTGTCTTCTTCATCACTGCTAGAGGATTCAAGAATCTCACTCAAGTCCACTTTCCAGTTGTCAGGGACTTGTCTGGACTGTACAAAGCGCTGTGCTGCTTCAAACCCTGGCAAGAGAGAACAAGAAAGAGAGCATAAGAAATCACGCTCTGACCTGGAAGCACTAAGTCAATGAAGGGTCAGCTGATCTTGGGTCCCGTACCTTTCCTGTTGGAGCACTCCGGTTTGGAGACGGTGCCAATGTTTACGTCCTGAACATCTTTGCGTGCCACTGTGTGACTGCAGAACACAAACAGTGATAAATCAGAGAGGGCACAACAATATGAAAATGTTTCCATTTCTTATTATCAAACTCAAAAATTCATACTGCTTTAAATGCAAAGTATCAACATTAAAAAAATCCTGTGAAATGGCTTAATGAGCAAACCTAACAGATATGGAATAAATGTCATTCAAAATGTCAGAAAAGGAAACAAATGTAATTTTGACCTCATGGGGTCTTAAAAGTCAAAGACACTTTTCAATGTCACTCACAATTTGGAATCTGCAAATGATCGCACTAAACATTGGTCCTTTTTGACAGTTAGGTCATCATTGCAGCTTGGAGATATCACCTTCAAAGAGGAAGGAAATATTAAAGCTCTTCAAAAAAAACAAAAGCAAAAACAAAGTTTTTACCAGTATAGGAATACCGTAACCAATGAATTCATAATTAGAACTGAAAGTATTGAGTCTTCATTGACAAACATTCGATTTGAAAGATCTAATCTGTTTACATATTTTTCAATTCAATTCATAACCTTTGCAAACATCAAAACAAGCAAGCAAGTACTTTCCAACAGCAACAATACAACATCCCCAGAGTGGCTCTGTCTATATTCTTTAAAAAATATTCTCATGTTCTCTCATGTTTTAAAACCAGTATGTGCAGGTTTTTGTATGCATCATTTTTATAGAGCAATCTTTTCATGCAACAGTTTTAGACACTTTAACATTATCAGTGAACAACTTTCAGTCTGTTCCCCAAACAAAGTATTTGCATGACTCAAAATAACTACTCTCTCAGCCATAGAGACTATGTTTATGCTGATTTGTCAGTCCTACAACCTGTCGCTATGAACTGTTGTTGTATGAAAAAGCTGTGTGAAGATTTAGCAAAATATTCTCTTCTTGTGTTCCAAGGAAAAAAAGCATACAGGCTTGAACAGCATGAAGGTGAGTAAATAATGAGCATTTTCAGAACTGTAGTTACTCCATGCATGACAATCTCTCTAGCTTGTTTTAAAATCTTAAATGTATTATTTTGTAATTGAATCAAGGACTCACCAGGACATAGTGCCAGGAATCACCATCGGAGCCACTCTCAACGCAGGCAACTTTCCCCAAAAGATCATCATTAAGCCTCCTCCTGTCATCTTCGTCATCTTCACTCGATGAAGACTCCTTTTCATCTTCTGCACTGCATTGCATCAAACAGAGCACTAACATTTGAAACATGCTCCCTTTCACATTAAAACACTGATCAGAAAAGCTAAACTGCATTTTTGCATACAGAAAGGTAAATAATGGAAACTGAACAATGTTGCCAAAATAATGCATGTTTCAGCTCAGGATCCAACAGGGAATCTGGATATTATGCTTTCTTTAATTCTAAGTATGTTACTTGTTATTTAAACTGACCTAAGTGTAACAATTTGAGAGCACAACAACAAAACTGAAGCGTACTATAAGCTCAGCATGAATTACACTATTGCACTTATACATCAGAGGTCTTTTAAACATAGAAATCTTAAAGCTACATCAGCAACAGCCTGAAAGAAACTGGGAAAATCATCATATGAAAACAAAGTTTGAATTGTTTTGGGTGCCCATGTGGACTGTGAGGAATATCGCCCATTTAACAAAGAATAATATTCATATACATTTGCCACATAAAGATAGACAGCACAAAGAGGAAAGGACCGTAAATACTCACACTGCCTGAGAAGGCCTTCTACCTCGATTTGTCTTTTTTCCAATGACTGGAGTGCCAAAGTGCTCTGGGTTAGTCAGGGGCAGTTGGTCCAAAGTCTGTTATAGAGAGAAATGGGCAGAAAAAAAAATGAGGAAAAACAAAAAATTTGGCGAGGCAGAAAAGACACATGATACAGACAACACCTCAAGCCTCACCTCACTCTCTGCAAAATGTCTTTCGCCTTTAAGACACAGTGAAGTTCTTCTAAGGGTTTTCTCATCTCCGTCATCAAAAACTGCAATAAGAATAAAAAATAAAAAAAAAAGAACTTTGAAATATAAATTGCAAGTTTAGTTTAGAGAAAATCAATTATAGGGCCTGAGAGAGGTCAAATAAGAGCAACTCAAGGGAGATTTAGTCAGCTATGTCTGTACATACCCACAGTGTACCAGCTGGCATCTGTGAGTTTACTGATGATAGCTTCGCTAAGTCTACCCTCTGGGCTCTTCACTTCCACTGTTGAGCCAACCTGAGACCAGAGATATACAACATTATGACTTTTCATGCAATAAACTTGTCACACAAAGCAGTTTATACAATATTCAGTAAAAAAAAGAGCCAACTTTTCTTTTAGAATTAAACATTGTGTATGATATAAAGCACTTTTGCCTTATAATTAAGAGAGTGCACAAGGTGTTCAGTTTCTTCAAACAGTAATCCAGCCATAACTGTACTTATTCACTGATACTCAAAATTAACATGTTAAGTGCCAAATTTCAGAGAAAAAAATGTGGCTTTTGCAAGTAAACAAATACAGAAGTAGTCGCCATTCTGTCTGTTAACCTGTATTATAACATAAATATATAAAATAATAAAAAGGGTTCTATGACAAATTCAGCACTGAATACAAATGCAGTAGAGAAAACCTTAATGTGCTTAAATGTATAGGGTTCATGAACTAGACTGTATTATGTATTCCAACTATTTTCCAAAAACCAGTAAGAAATGTAATGGAAGTAGAATAAAAAAAAAAGCCTGTCATTACCTTCTCCAACCCAGCTAAGCTCCAGCTCAAAGGCTTTGTCTTTCACCTCATCATGAACGATATAGATACTGAGTAGAGATGACAGACAAATACACAAAACAATAGTTACTACATTTTGTAAATATAAAGTGGTTTAATTTGTTATGGCATGATGCTATAAATGTTTTATTCAGAGTCCCACAATCATGGACAACTTGGAAATAGCAGTAAAGTTTAACATTTTAAGGCATGGAAGATTCACGGAATTAAATTCATTTCTATTGTGTATAATATACAGCAGGTAAAATAAGTATTGAACACGTCACCGTTTTTCTAAGTAAATATATTTCTAAAGGTGCTGTTGACTTGAAATTTTCACCAGATGTTGGTAACAACCCAAGTAGGGTTGGAAAATTTCCAGTAAATTTCGGAAATATTCCAGAAATATTGGAAACTTTCCAGGATTTTTTTTGAATATTCCAGGGATTTTTGGAAAGTTTCCGGAAATGTCCCACCCCTTTGCAACCCTAAACCCAAGTAATCCATACATACAAAGAAAACAAAAAACAAATAAGTTCATAAATTTAGTTACGTGTAATAAAATGGAATGAAACAGGGAAAAAAGTATTGAACACATGAAGAAAGGGAGGTGCAAAAAGGCATGGAAAGCCAAGACACCAGCAGAAATCTACCAGTAATTAGAAAGCAATCCTGCTCCTTGTCAGTGGAAATCAATATTAGCTGGTTCAGTCCCAACACCTACAGTACCAGGATGATGAAGATAAAAAAAGGGTGGACAATGACTATGTTTACATGAGTTGCTTTTAGAATATTCCTTACATGTTCCCGTTTTACATGTTATAGTACATAGTTTGATTAATGGCACACGTCATTATGTCCCACGTGACGCCATCCGACATCCCCTCCGGAAATTCATGTATAAACATATAGTTTGTCTTCGTGATGATGCCATGTACAGTTTTGGGTGTTTCATTTTTAATTTTAAGTGCAGTTAATTATTTGTACGTGCATACAGACGACGGTGGGTGTTGAAGCTCTTTTATTTGCCGTCAAACGGTTAAGCACTGCTGTGTGTATACCCTGTCGCAACATGCAGCGAAAAGTCCTACACGACGGTAATAATGTGATTAAGGTGTTTACATGTCTATTCTGCACTTCAGTAATGCGACTAAAATAGGAATACTCCACATGTCTTAATTCGATTTCTGTTTACTCCGATTATGACTTTAGCCGGATTAAGGTCATCAAAAATCTGTTTACATGGTAGATTCTTAATCGTATTAAAATCAGAGTATTGTTGTCCATGTAAACGTACTCCGTGATCCCAAACACAGCCAAAGAAACTCGATTGGTTTTAGAAAAAGAATATAAAGCTGCTAGAATGGCCCAGCCAATCATCTGACTTGAATCCAATAGAAAAT